GACTCTTAATTAGGGGTAGCCAAGCAGTGGGTGGTTTTTATATACCGTATGTCCTATAGCACAACAGGGCAAGATAAAGGAAAACATGAGTGTTGATGCTGGGAATCGTATCTCATCAAGTCAAGCCCCTGCCCATAGTGTTATTTCTAACATATTTTTACTTATGTAAGTGTTTCCCATCAAGAAAGAAAATAGGTTTGACAATGTTTACATTTTGATCAGTATTTCTTACATGAGTTGCTAGAGGAAACACTTACAATTTTGTTTGTTTTGAAAATGAAATTCCTGTGGAAAGGTCATTGCAATGTCAGTCCTGTCATTTCTAGCCCTCTTATCCCAGAGCTCATCTGCAGCATGTCAGGTCTGGTTTACTGTGCTAACCAAAAAAGGCAAAGAATGTGTAAGTCCTGCTCCCTTCAGTGAACTGTCTTGGTGCTCCATGATGGTCTGAGTTCACAGTGTCAGCAGGATCTACAGGAAGCAGAGGGGTGTTAGAGACACATTTTCTCATGCAAGTTTGGGTATCTGTGAGACAAGATTCCAAAGCTTTGCCAGGAGCATAAATCCTAGGCATTATCTCAGAACTACACATTGGGCCTTACCCTCTACATTTTAAACATTTCTTGGCAGTCAAATAAGCCCAGGCAGTTTAAATAAACCCAGGCAGTTTATCGTAGGTGCCTGCCACCTCCTCCGTCTTCCTCCTTGAGGATCCTGAAATAGGGTAGCAGATCAGACATGACTCTTCCCTATTTCGTGGCTCCCCCCGGCCCCTCTGGGGTAAGACAGGGTTTGCTGCAATAGGTGTTTGCAGCTGAATGGAAGGTCCAACTCAGCCCCTCACTGATCAGTATAAATTATGCACGAGTGGGAAAGGAAAAGCAACAGGCCTGCTTGAGTTTGCCTTGTCTTCTCTTGCTTAAGATTGGTCATGAAGGAAAGGCAGTGTGTGCAGAGGAGAGTGCAGGAGAGAGCCGTGTGTACAGTGGTTGAGATCAGGCGAGTGGTAGGGAGTGGAGGCCAATGGGCAGGGTCGCCCTGCAGATACAAGCGGTGCAGGTCCTGGGTTCTCGAATTTCAGAACCAGGCAGGGTAGCATGAGTGTTAGATTAAAGGCTTGGTCCTGTATTACACACAAAAATAAGGTATTTTAAACAAGGAGCATCGACCACCGTGGCACATCATTTCTCTATCTGGTAGTACTTGGGGTACTGAAGAGCTTATGGGATGCAGCACCCACGAATGGGTCTCATCACACTGAAGTTGGTTTTAGTGGTATCCTGCAAAGAGGCCTGGATTTCTTCTGAGAGCAGCAGTTGCTGAGGGCACAGCTTGGAACTCTGTAGAGCTTTTGGACCACACTTCTGCAAGAAGGCAGGCTGGTAGGTTGAGACAAGAGATTCTTGGATTTTCTTGAGATCTGCTTCCTTTACCTGTCCAGAACCAAAGAGAATAACCTGGAAAGGCAGGGAGCATAGCCAGCGGGGAGAACTAGGAGGCAAGTGAAGGCTGGGTTGTATTTGGGGGGTAGTTTTGTTTGGATTTCACTTTTAATTTTTGTATTGGTCCATGGTAACATTTATAGATGACTTTATTGAGAAAACCTGAATCTCCTTTTTTTAAAAACAGGGAAGAGATAGGAGATCACATAGTACTACTGAATCTATTTAAGGGACTATAAAATCACTATAGCCTCAGTTTTATCTAATCAGAGCTTGCTGTGAATTAGAGCCTGCTCATCTCTCCTCAGGACATTAAGCTAAGTCATTTGTCCCAGTTAAGCAGGTACATGTTTTAATAGTTTTTAGGCAATCACTACCTGTATTTGGCTATTCAAAGTATATACCCAGATGCATGAATTTGAACCTCTTGGTCTATAGGTCTTTTTTTGTTCTTTTTACCAGCCTTGATGGTTTTTAAGCCTTTTCAGTGACAGTCCCACTTGTGCCCATTCTCCAGTGATGCCTTCCTCCTAGGCCCATGTGCCTGCTCTTAAAATAGATGTCCCTTTGAGAAGAGTCACCCAGTGGCATGAGGAGGTATGGCCAGGATCCATCCACTTCAGAGTGGCCTGAATAGAGAGCTTTCATGTAGAACACATTTCCTTTTATTTAAATGAGCTTCTTTGGTTATGTCTAGAGCAGAATATCAGCCTAAGCATGATGGGATTGCAACCCCCCCTCCCCGTACCTCCTTCCAAAGAGGAACAACTGAGTTTTTTTTTAATTGACTAGGATAAAGTTATTTGAAGTTAAAGTGGCATCTAATCCAATCAACTGCCTTCCCTTTTAACCTCAGTGAACTTGCCAAGTTAGTCTGACGATTATCCAAGAGTGAGGAGCCTTGAGTTCTGATCCCGGCTCAGCTCACTAGAGACTCAGTGGTTTTCAGACTGTTCTTAAGGGACTTGTTCAACCCTGAAGTGCTCCACGGTTGCCAAAGATGGGTGGCTGGGAGTCAAGGTGTCTTTTAATTGTCAGCTTCGATCAGAGAATTTGGGCAGGGAGTAGCTATTCTGTAACCATTTTACCCTTTTTGTACCCAGCATTCAGGAGAATTTTATTAAATGAATCCTTGTCCAGAAATAAAGACTTGGCCTTCATGCTTTATATTAATTTCCTTTGGAGTATATACAGCCAAAAAAGAAAACTGTTAGGGAGGAAGAGGGGTTCAGATCCTCAGATTTGAAAATAGTTTTCAGTTTCAAGAATGTGAAAGGATGGCCAGGCGCGGTGGCTCACGCCTGTAATCCTAGCACTCTGGGAGGCCGAGGCGGGCGGATTGTTTGAGCTCAGGAGTTCGAGACCAGCCTAAGAGTGAGACCCTATCTCTACTAAAATTAGAAAGAAATTAATCAGACAACTAAAAATATATAGAAAAAATTAGCTAGGCATGGTGGCACATGCCTGTAGTCCCAGCTACTCGGGAGGCTGAGGCAGGAGGATCGCTTGAGCCCAGGAGTTTGAGGTTGCTGTGAGCTACGCTGACGCCACGGCACTCTAGCCCGGGCAAAAAAGACTGAGACTCTGTCTCAAAAAAAAAAGAATGTGAAAGGTGACAGTTGACCAAAGTCGAGGTCTCAGGAAGATTACCTGATGTGGTGTACTTGTGCCTACTGTCATGTTTCATACACTGTTAATGCATTCAGCATATGTGCCGTTTGCTGCACACTGCGGGGCCTGGTGCATGCTGGGTGAAGCAGATGAGCCTGATCCTGGTCTCCAGGATCTTACTAGCCAAGTGGGAGAGTCATCGTTAATTTACATAAGTTGTTTAATTTTAGTTGTGGTAAGTTTACAAAGGAAAGAAACGGGGTGTTAGGCGAGCTTAATTTCTACCCGTCTCTGTTCAGTGGCCTGTGTGAGACGCTCTCATTTCAGGTGGGAGACGCATCGCCTTCAGTAATGTGAAGGGGCTGTGCCCTATTCCCGCCTCCCATTCCTTGCTTGGACTTTTGTCTTCACAACTTGAACTAAGTATTCTTCATTTGACCTATTTCCTGCCTTATCATTCTTCTCAACAATTCTTAAGCTTTTACCTTTAAATCCTCTGTCTCTCCAAGTGTGCATAGGTATCTGGCATCAAGGAATTTAGAACCTGAGGAACAGTCTCATGGTCCAGTTGCCTCAATTTCAGATAAGGAATGCAGGGAACACATCCGTGGTCACACAAAAAGGCAGAGGCAGGACCAGCACTAAGCCCAGTTCTTCGAGTCTCAGCACAGCGCTTTCTGTCACATTCCTGCAGGAGAGGCTTTCCTCAGCAAGAGCCCAGCCTCCGGGACCTCCTTATCCTTGCAGAAACACCTAGAAGAAAAAAGATAAGCCCAGGGGGGCTATCAGCTGCAGACCTCACAGGCCCAACCTCACATGGCTCAAGGGTGGTTTTCTGTACAGATTTACCAAGAATACGTTTTTCTGGGAGCTGAGGAAAGGAAAAAATATGCCCCATTCTTGTCCTCAGGGGACTCATATTCTAGAGGAATGTAGAAATCTCACATGTGTGGAGAGAGAGCATAGAGCCACCTCCTAGGGGCTCAGGCACACGCCTGTGCACGGGAGAGCCCTGGAGCAGGGGGAGCTGGGAAACAGTCTCCTGGGTGAGGAGGAAGTGTTTTCCTGGAGAGGTGGAGCTCCACGGGTAGGCAGGGCTTTGCTGGGGCCAGGAGAAGAAAGAGACCCCTCCAGGCTTGAAGGGAGTCCCGAGCAAATTGCTCACACAGGCAAAGGGAGTTAGGAAGTTGTGAGAAATACATCTGGGCAGGGGCTGTCTTTAGAAGGCCTTGAGCTCTGAGCACTCACAGAGCTAGTGGGGTGCCGTGCTTCACTTTTTCAGAGGAGTGGCTTGATGGAAGCTGGGCTTTTGGAAGATAAGTCCAGTGGCATGTTTACAGGACCCTTAGGCCAGAGACTGCTAGAAGGCCTCATTAGGGACTTACTGTGTCACTCAGGTAGAAATGAAGTGGTCCTGATCACAGATAGCAGCAGTGGTTTATTTTGAGCTTCTGTAGTGCTCGTTTGCAAAAATGAGAAATCTGGGTTTATCTCTAAGTGTTAACGTAGAAATTACAGCTTTACGGTGATTTTTCTAACTATGTCTAGATGGAATCTCCAACGAATTGTAAAGACTGAGTGTCTGCATTTTATTTTATAAGGCATTTTGAAACTTTTGAGAACAAATTAAAAGAGAATGCAAATATTAAATATCACTTCTTTTTACTTTCAGATCTCAAGTACTAGGTTGAATACCTTTTAATTTGCTGTTGATGGTATTGCACTCGGCTTTTCTTTTTTGATATAATGTTTTACCATTGGAGGGTTGGATAACGTTTTACGTTTGGAGAGTTGGAAAACCCTCCAGAGTTTGTGATGTAGCTGAACAAGGTGGGTGGTCCGCTGGGGACAAAGAAGAGCAAGAGGGTGAGAGTGGCTGCACGGCTCGGAAGCGTGCTCGTCAGCACGCAGAGACTCACCTGCGTTGTCATCTCTTTGTCTCCTTAGGAATATAAACAGAAGCTTGCACGAGTAACCCAGGTGCGCAAGGAACTAAAGTCCCATATTCAGAGCTTGCCAGACCTCTCGCTGCTGCCTAATGTCACAGGGGGCTTGGCCCCCCTGCCCTCTGCTGGTGACCTGTTTTCAACTGACTAAGATGAGTGTCGTGCCCCAGATTTCCATCTGTACCAGCAGAAAGAAGAAGGCAAGTCGTGGTTGGGAATGACCTTCTAGTCCTTGGTTCTATCCCTTCTTCCACCCACCCCCAGCCTCAAGAAAGAACCAGAGACTCTGATTCTCCTCTCCGGCCTTTCATCTTGAGCACAGTTCAGAACAGTGGCGAGTGGAATCCGGTTTAGATTCGTATTTGCAAAGAATACAAACTCTTTCTCCCACTTCATGTTCCCACGCCCCAGCTGGTTTTCCATTCTTATATCACTCTTTACACCTAAGAAGTTATGAAAATCATGTATACTTCTGGAAGCTTTTAAAAGACTCTTGTCCCTCATGACAGCATTTTGTCATGAAAGTAGCACCTCCTTTTTGAGCTGGGCTTGTTCAAGTTCGATATGGGCTTCCACTGAGGGACTCGCTCTGGAGACATTGGCTTTCCCAGCTGCCATCTGCCCCAGAAGGTTGGAGGCACAGCTGTGGAGCAGCTTTGCCATAAAGAGTTTGCCAAATCTCTTTACGGTAAGAAGCCCTTACCGTTACTCCTACTAGCCATGTGTATTCAAAGGTCAGGTGCGTCTGTTTTGTAGAGTCTAGCAATAAGATTCAAAGCTCGTCTGGGACGTAAAGGCACAGTTCAGAGACAGAATAGCAGGGATCACGGGCATGAATCAGAAATCAGTCATTTGCTTCAAGTTCGTATATACAACCTTTCCAAGCTGCTCTTCTCAAGGGCCCCTCCCACTGTCATAGAGCAGATTCCTAAGAATAGGATGCCGTGGCCCCTGGGGGTTGCGAAGGCAGTTGTTAGGGGTGGCACTGGTGGGCCCCAAAAGATAAAGGCCCCACACACAGGCGTGCTACATCTGGGCTCTGCATGGATGTTGCTTTGACTCTCTTTTCTGGGAGTGGGGCACACACTAACATTTAATCCACTGTGTGGGTGCGTGTCTATGGTATGGTGACTAAACCTGAACATCTCCTCTGCAAATAGGACGCTGAGCGTGTCCGTCAGGTCACGCCACTGCACAGGTCCTCGTTCCCACACGAAGAGGAGTATTTGCATCAGATGTTACTAAATAGCTCATCTTGGGCAGGAGAAGGGGGAAGTCGGGGATATTAATTGGGGATTTTAATTCCATTATCATGCCAGCTGACATTATGACTTTATAATGTAGAGAGAATTTTTACCTTGCTTATAATAAAAGATCGGCCTGCTAATATAAATCATTCTAATGTGGCAGGCTTGTTTTTGACATTGGAAAGGGCAGAAAACAATTTGCCCAATAGTATAATAGGAACGACAGCCCAGAGGCTGAAATCCAAAAGCTATAAAAAGGAATTCAGTGGAGGGGGCGTCAGAATCTCCATTAATTTGAATTGCTGTTTCCAGGATCACCAAAAATCTCCTGTAATTTTACATGTTAAACATGTTAAAACATAATCTATGTTTTATAAAGTATAACAGGCTTTCCTTCAAGAAGCTGCCCTGCCCATCATGACATGAGAACAATGAAAAGTCAGGGCAGGTATTCAGTTGAACTCTGTGTAGAGCCTAGTAGTGTTTAAGCTGTGTTTCAGGTTTGGATACAGACTGTGTGTTGTTCACTTATGACACTGCCTGTTGTTCTTTCACTGTTAAATTAATGAATCTATGAGGTTTTTCTTCCAGAGGCCACAGGTGTCATTACTAAAATTGCAAGGTAAATTTTAATCTTTGCTGCTTCTGCACATACGCCCCCTCCCCCGTATGGTGTGCTGCTTTGGTCCTGCATATATGAACTTGTTTCTGAACAGACCCATCTGGGACACTCTTTGCTTTCCCCGAGGAAGCAAGATTTTACCAGCCACAAACCAGACAAAAGGGTATAGTAGAAATTTGCCCTAATCAGCTCGATGAAAGTATCTGTTTTACCCAACCAAGTCTTTGACCAGCAACCGGTGCATAATTATTACAGCAAGAGCAAGAAGTGAAACGGTAGCAATTATGTAAATGAATGTGTTGGCCTCTTAACACCTGTTACTAGTGGACTTCCTGTGAGGAAGTTAGTTTTGTTTTAATGAATGCTTTTGTTTTTTAAATCTTAATTCTTCCTACATCCTCCCAGAGTGTGCTTACTTCATTTGTTTAATTTAAATGACCCTTTCTCCTTGTATGTATAAGGTGATCTAGCAGGGTGGGGTGGGTGGTTTTTGTTTTTGTGTTTTTTCTTCTTAGGGCATCTGTAGGCCTCAAAGGACCTTTCCTTTAGGTCATATTCCTCAGAAAGTCTTTGATCTTGCTTTGTTTTTGTTTTGTTTTTCTTAAAGAATATTTTTAAAGCTTAAATTTGTATATTAATTTAGGACTTTATTTAGAAGTATAGGCTGTCGTTGGTGGCAGCAGTATATTCTGAAATGTCTCATAGATATATATTTTTGAATAAAGATGGTGTTGTTGAACAACAATCGTGTGATTTTTTTTTTTTTTTAACCTACCCTGTTACAGAAAACGCAGTGCTGTCTCTGTAAGCAATGGGTGATTAGTAATCACCAATAGAGAATGTGCTGTCTGCACAGATTCTTGTCCCTTAGGAGTTTTTGTGACTGTTAGTGGCACATAAATACTCAGCACTTACATAGTATTTTCTGGTTCTTTCCAAGGGCTCAATTAGCTGTAATTAGCCAATCCACACAGTACCCAGGGGAGGCGCCACCATAGTTTTATCCTCATTGTACGGAAGTGGGAACTGATGGAGAGAGGTTAAGTGACTCTTCCTCGGTACCACACAGCCAATCTCTGGCAGATTAAAACTTGGAGGCTCTTTGATTTTAGCGTTTTTGTTCACACCACTAGGCCTCCTGAGAGCTATTTGATTTTAGCAATACAGTGAAAGCCACTCTAAACATTAAAAAGAAGAAAAATGTGAGATAATTGCAAACCCAAATGGTGTGTCTTTAAAAAACATTTCCATGGGTTTCCTTTCTCCTTTTCACTTGTGTGTTCAATGAAACCATATTGACTGGATAATACTGGAAAATTGTTTGAAACAGGTCCTTTTGAAGCAATTGGTATGTTTGAAGAAGGATCGTTTTAACCTTTCCCCTGTAAGGGCAGCCTTTGCTAGAAGAAGTGGAGTTACCCCTCTATTTCTTGATGCAAAAAGTCTTGCGGTAGCTGTGGTCCATCAAGACTAACTGCAACTCAAATCAAGTCCAGTATTAGGAAAGTTGAGACTATACATTACTCAAGTTCCATTTTGAAATATAACGGTTGAATGTAATATGTGAATCTCGGGAGAGAAGATCTCCTTCTGTGTCCCCAGGTTTCATGGCCTAGTTAATTTCTTCACTCCTACCTATAAATAGTAAGTCCATTATTCTTCTGGTTTAATTAGCACTTCAGGCTACAAAATGACTCTGAGGTCCTCAGAGCCGAAGATGGAGCTACCCAAGAGTTCATGAATCTGTCAAAATGCTTAACCTTTGTGATTAGAGCCGTTAACTCTCTGTGTGACCTTCCTGGACAAGGTATTTTCCTCTCTGGGCCTCAGTTTTCTTATCTTTGAAATGTGGTATTAGATTAAATTATTTCTAGGCTCACTGTCAGCCCTCAAAGCTTATTATTATTGTGTGGCATCACAGAATGCAGGACTGAAGTCTTTGAGAGCTCTGGATGGCATATCCTGGGCTCCCACTCACATTTGTTAGGTAAATGAGTAGTATCACCATCGTGCTATAGACACTTCCAGGAAACCCTGCAGATCGTACGTGATCTGTAAGGATCAGGTCGCAGAAGACAGTGCCAAGACTAGAAAGATGGGGGTAAACACAGCAGTTCACTAGGCACACGCAATCTGCATTTGGCTTACTCGAGATCTTTAAGAAAAAGCCATTTTCTAGGATGGTTTTGCTCTCTTACTTCCTCCTAGAATAATTCATCTTGCTAAAGCTCATTTCTCGCCACCACCTCTGTGGGAATTTCCAGTTAAAAATCATGCTTCCACTCTGAGGCACAGATTCAATTAAGAACCCATTATTCTCCCGTACAGTAGGTTGAGATTCATACAGCTTTATGTAGTGTTGAAAGCCGAGTTTGTTCAATATTTTAGACTCTGAAGTAGTTATTTTGCATTAAAAATTCATTTCTATGACTGGCTTGATAAATATTAAAATTAGCATGAATCCATTTACCCAATATTTTTTGTGAATAAGAGGCAGCTGTGGCAAGTGATAACCTTTATCTTCTGATCTCTTCTCGCTGTGATGACCTTGGACAAGTCACTCAGGCTTTCAGGACCTCAGCTGCTGCTTAAAGGAGATGAGTGGGTTGGCTAACCTCTGAAGTCCTTTCCAGACCCAAAGTTCTATGACTAGGCTTTCATAGTATTTCTTCCTACGGAGGATCTTCTTAATAAACTGAATACTTGCATAATGTACTCCATGGCTTTTTATTTTTAATTAAAATTTTTTTTTTTATTTTTTAGCCAAATTTAGCAGTGGGGGTTGTATACCAACTTTAGTGACACTAATGTTAATAAGTTCAGATCACCCACTACCATCGGACCAGCCATTCATGGCTTTTTAAATACCAACTGTCTGTATGAATTTTGAGTTAGGAAATAAATCAAAGTAGTTAACAAACATACTTATTAGTAACTTTAAGTGAGGCCAGGTGCAGTGGCTCACGCCTGTAATCCTAGCATTCTGGGAGGCAGAGGTGGGAGGATTGCTTAAGGTCAGGAGTTCAAGACCAGCCTGAGCAAGAGCAAGACCCCATCTCTACTAAAAATATAAAAAAATTAGCCAGGCGTGGTGGCACGTGCCTGTAGTCCCAAGCTGCTCCGAAGGCTGAGGCAAGAGGATCGCTTGAGCCCAGGAGTTTGAGGTTGCTGTGAGCTAGCCCAGGTGACAGAGTGAGGCTCTGTCTTAAATAAATAAATAAATAAATAAATAATAAAAATATTTGTAAGAAGGGGCTAGTGCTATGTCTTATGCTAATTAGAGGCTCAGTGGTGTCTGTTACTATGTCAGATAATGATGCAGGTGTTTACATACACGTGTGACCAGAGGTTAAAGTAGATGTTCGTTGGGAGGCAGTAGTGATAGATAGCACATGCCTATATCATATGCAGTATTTACAATGATGGTCAGAAATCTAAAACCCTCAAACCTCCTCACCCACGTTGAGGGTATAAAAAGGGTCAAGAGTTAGTTGAAGGAAGATGCTTTTGGTGAGAATTCCTTTGAAAAGAGCTGTTGGTGTGTTTGGAGTCTTCCTAGGAGGAGCGGTGAGTTCCACTTACCCCTTAACCTCAAGGCTAAGGAAAAGGGGCTCCAGGGAGCTAAATGGTGTCTCCTGTAGGGAGGCAATCTGGTGGACAGGCAGACCTCTGCCTCGAAGGATCTAAAGGGAGCTGCCAGGGGCTGGCTAAGCGCTTGAAGATGGAGCAAGGGAGAGGTGGCCGAGCTGGGTGCAGCCCCCACTGTTTGTCAGAGCAAAGGATGCATGCAAAAGAACTGGCCTGCATCCCGGGGTGATCTCAGAGCCTGTGCGAGAGGGGAGGGGTTTCCTCAGGGAGGTGAACTTCAGACTCACAGAACTGAAGAAGGAGCAGAGAGCAAAGAGCCAGGGATAAAGCATCATCCCCAGGGAGGGACGCCTGGTGATGGGGCCTGAGAATAGGGTGACTGGGGGAAGGGAGAGGATGAATCACTCCGAGGAGTGTCTGAGGAGCCAGTGGGAGAAGGAGGCTGTTAAACCTTTGCTCAGCCTGTGCCCAGTCACCACCACCACGCCTCAAGTTAGATCTGGCTCTTGCTTTGCCTTCTTTCTTTCCTTCATTCCCACTGCTCTATCCCTGGAAGGGTCAGAAACCTTATTAGTTAAACAAGGGAGGCCTCCCTTCCTCCATGCTGGCTTCCCACCTGTAGCAGGCTCAGAGAAGTCAACTTCCCACGATAAGCCATTTGGATTATAACATGGGAGTGGGCATTTAAATTTATGAATCAAGACTGTTTGCACCTTAAGTGTGACTACAGGAATCTGTTTTTAATTAAATAGGAATGACTAGAGAAGTTGTGGAGACCTCAGTTTTCTTCTAGAGTTAGAGGATACAGTACACTAGCCCCACAAATTGGATTTCAAGGGACGCTAGGAAACAAAGTTGCTTTGTAATTGCAGTCACACAAATCTGCTTGTGTATTGTAATGGTTTTATGATTTATTTTAGGACTTTAATTATTGGTTCATCTTTCCATTTTTGTTATAATACTTAAAAATTTCATTTCTATAACCTCAATTTGTTTATTTGTGAATTCGTGAATGATCCTTCTGTGTATATGTGAACGCATTTTTCAAAATTGTGGTACAATATGCATAATATAAATTTACCATTTTAAAGTGTACAATTCAGTGGTATTTAGTTCATTTACAATATTGCGCAACATCGCCACTATCCAGTTCCAGAACATTTCATTCCCCCAACAGGAAACCCAATATACATTGAGCAGTCACTCCCATTATCCCTTTCTTTCAACAATACTAATCTGCTTTCTGTCTCTGAAATTGCCTATTCTGGTTATTTAATATAAATGGAATCACACAGTATATGACCTTTGTGTCTGCCTTCTTTCACTTAGCATAATGTTTTAAGGTTGGTTCATCCATGTTGTAACATGTATCAGAATTTTATTCCTTGTTATGGTTGAATAATATTCTATTGTATGGATATGCCACATCTTATTTATCAGTCAGTCAATGTATATTTGGGTTGTTTCTACAAGGAGAGAAAAGAGGGAAAGACAGAAAACGTGTTTCAAGAAATAATGGCCATTCCCCAAATTTGATGAAAATTATAAAGCCATAGATTCGGGAAGCTCAGTAAACCTCAGAAAGAATAAACATGAGGAAACTACACACACTAAGACACATCATAGTCAAATTGCTGAGCCACTGATAATGAGTAAAAAGAAGCATTATGCACAGAGGAACAAAGATAGGAATGACATCAGACTTCTTGTCAGAAATTATGTAAGCCAGAAAAGAATAGCATGGCATCCTTGAAGTGCTGCTGAAGGGGGGAAAAAAGTCAATCTAGAATTCTGTATTTAGCAAAAATTTCTTTCAAAAATGAAGGTGAAATAGATTTCTTCACAGCAACAAAAGCTGAAAGAATTCATCACCACCAAATCTGAACAGTAAGAAATACTAAAGGAAGTTTTTCAGACAGAAGAAAAATGATTCAAGATGGAAATCAAGGTGGATCTACACAAAGAAATGAAAAGCACTGATAATGAAAATTACATGGAGAAGTATACAATTTTTTTCTGATTTAAATCTCTTTAAAAGATAATTGTTTAAACAAAAATAATAACAATGCATTTGGGGTTTACAATATACAAAAAAATGCAATGTATGACAATAATAGCATAAAGGTAAGAAGGGCAGAAATAGAAGTATACCAG